GTCTCCAGGAAAAAAAATGTAAAATAGAATGATGGGGCTATTAATTTCCTTTGCTTCCCAATTTTCAGTATGAAAGCTGGCAGAATTTCATGATGATGTAGAATCAGTGTGTTATTTATATCAAATGGCAGATAGAGAGCTGGGGTCAAATTATTATTATAGCCTTTTCTGCAGTAATCTGTGGAAAGAGGACTGGATTTCTGCAACTGTAGAATTAAAGTTGCAGGCTGTCATCTACCAGCTGTTGTAGCAATGAACTCCAGAAGAATCCTGTGATCTGCACACATCTGCTCTGACTTCTGTGGTTCTTGCCTTGTCTGCTCAGTCTCTCTGCTGCTTTTCCTCTGAAGTTGCAGCTCATCCTCTCCCCAGCAGCAATACAATGATTTTTAATGGTAGGTAAAGAAAACCATCTTTGTCTCAGAAGAACAGTGGGTTAGTTCTTAGAGTTGATATCCCACCTTGAAATATATTACACTTGCAAGTGGTTGTTACCCTCCATTACATGTAACACAGATCTTCATGCCAAAAGATAGAGGATATTAGAGTCTGTCTTACGTTCTCTGATCCAATTCACTGTATGGTTTCACAGTTGCAGTGGCACATGGCAAAGAGCTGTGGAAAAGAGGGAGGCAAAGGAGTGCAACAAAGAGCACTCAACCCAGTGTAAATAATAACTACTACTGACTACATAAGCACAGCCTGAAAGTTAAGACCAACTGTCTACTGAAGACTGAAGGAGATAGCCAAAACCAGAACCTGTGGTGTGGAATTTCACAGAAATAGGCCAAGAATCATCTATGTGTTAGAGAATATCCTACATTAGGCTTAAATAGTGTTCTTCAGCTCTGATTCTTTTATTCTGTGGTAAGGAGTTAAATGCAGTTTTGTCTGAGGACCTCTTATTTATATGGTGCATGTAGAAGATGCATGCTCTGAAAGCAGAAGCGTGGTAGCTTGTCACGCTCTGTGTGTTTGCCTTGAACAGAGGGTTCCATTATTAAGTCTGGCTAGATTTGAAGCCTCTCTGATTAGAGGCCCATTAAGCTGCTATAATCCAAACCTTTAATTTACGAAGAAAGACTACTTTTTATTGAGAATTAGTGCGTTAGTCACTATTTTACATTGTTACTTGGCAGGTGAGTAACAGGAGAGGGTGCTGGGCTGGCAGCTTGACAGCTAGAACCTTAAAAAATTAGCAAAATTTTCATTCCACATGTAATTTTATTTTTAACTTTTTAGTCAAAATAGTTAAGTTTGACAAGCTTGGCTTGACAGGCAGTGCTGGTGATACAATCAGAAATTCATCAGTTATATTTGGCATTTTGTTTTCTTTCCTGACTTTCCTTCAGTTGGTCTCTTCCAAATCAGTGGGTTTTTCAGTTCTGTTCGTGGCTTTTTACTCTCCATCCTTACTCCTTATTGCCGTTCAAATCCTTTAACTTTCATTCGCTGTCTATGGACTTAAAAGATTTTGTGCTTGAACAGCAGGGGGAGTTCTGTTGTTTTTAAAGGCTGTAAAATGTAAGTTCATCCGTGTTCAGGTTCCATAGCCTAGGAGGAGCCAGCCTCTTGGGAGAGGGTTATTCGATTCCATTTGCAGTAGTGGCTGTTTTCATTTGAATGGGTGAGGTTTTTTTCTTCCCATTAAACACTGAAAATATTTATTTATTTTTTTAGTGTTCCAGCACTTAACCCTTTAGCAACTTTCATCAGAAAACTAAGGGAGGAGATTCCAGCTAATTGGAGGTTACATCAATCAGTTCTGTTCTTCATATACTGTGGTTGCATATGAGGAAAACCAAGCAGACTGTGGAAAGATTTCCAGCTGTAGAATGAGAAAACATGCAAGTTTTTAATCTTTTTACTGTATTTATCAGCTGTAGGTCAAATGACACCACCTTGAGCCTGAAGAGAGTTTTTCTTTCTGGGGGTTCAATTTGCCAAATTATTCTGTAGCTAACAGAAGCAGGAAAAGTTCTTCTTCCTTTAAGACCATGGTGAGATGTTAAGTGATGGCATCGCTTATGTCAGCTTACACGATTCCTATGGCTCCAGCATGCTTGACCCTCTTGTGGGCTGTGTGTTCCCAACCTTACTGCTTTCCAACGCAGGTATTTGTCCAGGCATGTGGAGAAATAGGTTTTCTGTTTCTTCACAAATGATGAGGCACTGTATGACTGTGCTGAAGTTTGGGGCCAGCACATTTCAGAAATGGAAAAGCTGGGGGAAGGGGCTGCTTCAGCTGTAGGGAATTACACGCATGACTCTGTCCTGAGACTTTAGTCTTGAGGAGAGAT